CCCGGTGGCTCAGCCCCGCGCCGGGACGCGGCGCCTTCGCGGCGAGGGGCGCCGCGGCGGCGAGCGGCCGGGCGGCGCGAGAGGCGCCGGGTGGCGCAGTGAGCGAGGAGGAGGGGGGGGGCCTGCGAGCAGGCCCCAGGAGCCACGAGGCCCGTCCACGGCCTCGAATGCACACTTGCCTTAGCCATGGGGGCGCTGGCGACGTGGCTCGACGTCTCTCTCAGCGCCAATGGGTGCGCCACGGCCCACGCGTCCGCTACCGTGACAAGGCCCGAGGGGGAAGCCATGGGCGCGCTGGGCCAGGCGACGAGGGAGATGAAGAGCGGCAGGACGAGCCTGGCACCCAGGACGAGGCCAGCTGCTCGGACGCAGGCGGGGACGAGCTGCCAGCGGCCGAGGCGCCCGACGGGCCACCTCTGCCCGCGGCACTCCCCGCTCCTGCCGAGCCCCGGGCCACGGACCCGCCGCCAGCCATGGCCGGTCCGGGCAGGCGCTCCGCCCACAGTGGTCGGCGCTCCAGCGAGTACTACTACTACGGCTACGAATACGACGCCGCCGCCGAGCAGGTGGAGGCGAAGCAACGCGAGGAGGCCGGCCCAGAAGCGGCACCCGCGCCCCCGCCGCCCGTCTCCGAGACAAGCGCCGAAGAGACGAGCGAAGCGCCTCCGGCTGGGGGCGTAGAGGCGGAGTGGAGAGGGGAGCTCCAGAGGGGGGCCCCCCGCCGCCTCCGCCCGAGGAGCTCCCGAGCGCGGGCAGCGCGACCAGGGGGGAGGGGGCTGCCCACGCCGCGCCTGGCCCTCCCCCAGACGCTGCCGCATCGGCTTCGCTCGTCAGTCTGGCCTGGGTCAACGCGGTGGGGGCGGTGCTGAAGTGGCTGGGCGAGAGACTCGGCCATGCCCTGGGCGCCCTGCCCCACCAGCTGATCGCGGTCTCAGGCGGCGAGGTGAGGAGGTTGGAGCCCAGGGGGGACTGAAGGACTGGAACAAGCAAGCTAGTCTCACGCGGAGCTCGCTGCGCCGAGCCCAGCTTCCTCTGGGCCCCCTCCTTCCTGAGCTCCCCGATCAAGATGTCGCGAATCATCTCCATGTTGCGCTCGTGTCGGTCGAAGGAAAAGATCAGCCGCACTCTCTCCTTCTTATTCGGCGCCTTGTGCTTCGCCTGGAAGTGCGTGGATGCAGCTCCCCGGGAGCTCTGGGCCCTCCTGGCGCGCCACCGCCGTCCCGAACTCCGCGAGCACCTTCTTCGAGTCCTCCTTTACGAGCGTCGAGAGGCCCTTGATCGCGGCCGCCGCGATGACCAGGCGCGGTGGCCCGAGCGAACCTGCGTCGACCTGGCTGTCGACCGCGCGTTTCTCCTAGAGCTCTCTGGCGTCCGCGTCGTACTTCTGGCCCGCCTGGGCCGCGAATTCCGCCGTCGGTTTGCTGGCCCCCAGCTCCCGCGCCTCGTGCGCCGCCGCCTGCAGATCTTGCGCGTCTTTCGCCACTATTATGGTCAGTTTGGCTGTGGGGATCGCGATCTGCCCCGCGCGATCTGCATCTCTGCCCTTGCATTTGCCAGCGCCCTTGCCCTTGTGCTGCACGTTGGGGTCGGCGTCCGCCTCCGCGGGCGCGCGCTTGCCAGCCCGCGCCGGCCCCTTGACGAACGGGCCCCCCGCCTGCAGTGGGGCCTGGGTTTCGCCCGCCGCCGCCGCCGCTGCCGCCGCCTGCAGGTCTGCGGGGCGCTGCGTCGACGTCGGCTCTGGAGGATCCAGCACCTGATCTGGGCGCTGGCGTCGGCGGCTGCGAAACGGCTCTGGGAAACTGACTACGGAGGCATTGGGAAAAACGTGAATTGTCTGTGTCGGCATAGCCACATATTGCACATCGAGGGTCAAATAATTCCGCTGGCTTCGTCGTGCGACTCCGATCCATCGGGCATCGCCCCTTCAAGAAGGCTCGCATCAAACGTCGTGCAGCTGTGCTCCTTTCACCGAAATTCGCACCGCTATTCGCACATTCGTCGTTGGGGGTCAGGAGGGAAGCGAGATTGCTAAATTTGCGCCTGTTCCTCACGTGAGCAATCAGGGCCTTGCAAGAGCTGGACCACATGCCGCATATCGTGCCATCGCACTGCGTCGCCGTCGTCGCAAAATCCGCCCCCTCCTCCGTCCGCCCCCCTGGCAGCATAGGGGTTGGCGCCTCGTCCGCGATCTCGCATCTCCACGGCGCGATCTCTGACAGCGCCGCCTCCTCTTCCTCTGAGTCTGCCGCTGCTGCTGCGGGGCCCACCGAGAGCCCAGGCGGTGGAATCGCGCGCGCTCGGTAGGCCTGTCAAGGCTCTCTGGGGTCCAAGACGCGAAGTGCCTCCTGGGAACCGGGCTCCAAGAAATTACCTGGCTCGGCGTCTAGGTCCAAGGTTTCTGGTAAAGCTGTCCATGCGACTAGTCTCCTCTAGGACTTCAATGGTTCGTTTAGCCCATTCGTTACACTGCGGGTGCAGCGCGCCGTCTTCACAGACAGTCGGTCCCGTCTCCCACTCCAGTTGTCTAGAGATGGCTGTTTGCAGGTGTTGGTGCTGCATCGGGTGCAGAGTACCTTGCGAATCCACGAGACTCGTCGGACGATGGTCTCCATCTGTGGCGGCAAAATGCGCCAACATCTCAATACCTCGTAGCTGGTGGGTTTCCTGGTCGACCCGTCTGGTAAGTGTTTCGCAGCTTGCCCCCTTGATAGGTTTCCCAGCCAGGCCCGCCACTGTGATGGCAAGTGCTCGATACTCACACTTCGTGGGAAGAAAGCACTCAATGCAACTGAGGCCTGTGCTCACCACCTTGCATAGTAACACCGAGCGTTTCCACTTGAAAGGGATCCCCGCCTTGTACCATAATCAACCCATCTCCCCACATGCGCGCATCATCGCACGCACTCGTTGTTTTAGTGCCTCGCCAAAGCTGTTCGCCGCGTTAAAGTGGGGGCCCAAATATCTAGCAGACTGTGCTGTGCGCCCTGGAAAACTGTGCTGTCGGGCCCTAAGTTGTCGATACTGTGCTGTCGATCCCTTCCCATGCATCCGTACCAACTCTCCTGCTTATCCCGGTTCTGAGACAAGCCGAACTTTCAAAGTCGTTCGTCGAGCATCTCGTCTGCCAGCCTCGCCTGTTGCGCAAAGTCCGCTGCTGGGCGGGGGAAAGTGCTGACTATGATCTTCTGGAGGTCATCTGTATATTTGTAAAAAGGGCCCAGATACTGCGGTTGTTCGAAGAACGGGCAGCGGGCTTGGAGCACCTGGCCACATGGGAGATGGGTCAGACAGTCCTGCTTCCACTGGTCTACTGGGTTCGCGAACGTAGCAGCGAAATTGTAAACCATGTAGGGGTCCCCATCTGAGCGCCCCGCACACTGGTCGCATCAGAAGTGGGTCTTGTTGGTCGCGGCAGGGTGCCGCGAAGGAACATTGTCGGAGCCTGGGAGGGCCCCCCCCGTTCGAGTGGTGATCCCGATCCGACATCTTACGGCAGGTTCGTGTCGCGATGACGTCGGCGTTGTTCTCTGACTCTCCGTGCGGGCGAGCGAGCGAGCGAGCGAGCGACGCCTTGCGGTCCAGATGACCAGGCCCACTCGGGGCGGGGCGTGCGGGGCCATGGCCCTCAGCTCTTGCAAAAATCATCCGTCAGAGAGTGCCACTCGTCCGGGTTGTCAGCGGCATACGTTGTCCAAGCCAGGTCGTTGGCATCCCTGTGGCGCCTTCCAGTACCGCTTCCTTGTGGTAAGGGGTCGGCCCGGTGTGCAGGCAGGACTGTCCGGAGATCGTCGTCGGACCGCTGAGGCTGACGTCCATGGTTCCGGTGCCCTTGTCGGGGCGCATACGCTCCAGGATAACCAACGTGAAGCCAGTGGCGTCCAGCGCAGAGGTGGGTGATTGACCACTCGAAGGGCATACTTCCATATAGATTGCCTTTGGGCCGTGGTCCAGCACTGGATCCCGTGTCGTAGAACAAGGCATTCTGCACGGCGAGTGGGCCGCCGGATGTAGTCCACCCAAGACTCCTCGTCCGAATCGGCGCTGCAATCGGCGGCGGCGTCGGGGTCGTCGTCGGCAGACGTCTCGTGAGCGTGGGGGTCGGCAGGCGTAGGGAGGTTGCTGTCCAAATCGCTGTCGTGAGACGTGGAGGTCGCGCTGCTCGTCGGCATGTGTGTAGTCGAGTTTGCTGGGGATCGCAGGTGCTGATTTACGGAGGTCACGTCGTCGGAGGTGCGTGTTCTCGTTGATTTCTTCCTCGGGGTGTTCACGATCATGCGGAGCATGCGCCGTTGCGTTCTCTGCAGCTGCTGGCGGGTCGCCGTCGTAACTGTCCACGTAGCAGAGGCGTAAAGGATGGTCGGTGTAACGACGCTGTCGAAGAGCCGAAGCCGGTGCTGCAATGGGTAGTGCGTGCTTGTGAGCTCCTGCCTGTGCTTAGTGAAGGCAGCCCACGCGGCCTTAATGCGGTTCTGTACCTCTGTCTGCGTTGTGTCGCTGAAACTGATGGTCTGTCCAAGGTATTTGAGCGATCTCGCATACGGTAAAATAGAAACATCCATATCACATACGTCCAACTTTGAAGCATTGGCTCTACCAGCGCGCCGCGCCACATTGAATCTTGAATGATCACGGCTTTCCGGTAGGGCAGATCTTTCGCTATCGGCCGATTCTGGGCCCCTGGCGGCGTTCAACCTTGAACGCCCGCGCTCGGGTCACCGCCGCGGCAACGCGGCGCAAATCTACCGTACACTTGGCCCCGATGGAATTGAACCTCGGGATCCGCGGGTGTCTATGAGGGGTTGGAGGGCTCGCTGTCAGCTCACGAGCCCAGCCGTCCGACAATGTGCTTTTTTCGGCCCGCGGTCCCAGAAATCTCGATCCCTTTCGCAGGTTTAGTTTTCGGTCCAGGCCCAATTTTCGATTGTCCTGGGACCCCCCAGAGCCCGAAATCAAAGGGGATCGGGGGTCGGAGATCCGGGAATTTTGAAAGCCTGCGCGACCGCACCCGCCGGGCTGAGAGTACCCCGGGTGCGCCGTGTACCCCCGCTGCCCCGTCCAGTCGTCCGGGGGCCGGCTCGCCGTCGGAGGCGGGAAGTTGGCCAGGTCCTCGGGAGGCCGGAAGAGCCCCTGACCTCCCAGCGGATTTGTGTGTGGCGTACAGGTGCGAGGCGAAGACAGCCGAAATCCGCCCAAAATCTGGACCCAGACCCCTGCCAGGCTCCGCCTGGGCCACCGTTTCACCCCCAATCGATTTCCGACGGCCCGGGGGGCGCGAGCAGGGGGCGCCCATGGGCAGTGAGAAGTTTGAGGAGCATCTTCGAACCTCGTCGTCGTCGTCATTCTTGGACGCTTTCCGTGGCTCTGGGGATCCAGGGGCCTCCGGAATGGGGCCAGAGCAGGCAGGGTCGGAGGATTGCACCGCATCGCCGATGGACTACTGGCGACGTCAAGATGGAGAGAAAGTCGGGCTCCAGATCCCGTCCGCCTCGCCGATGCATTGGCCTTGCGGCGGGATCATCCAGCCCCCCCTGCTCGGACCCCATTTGGAAAGGAGGCCTGGACCCCTTCCCCCTGATTGGCTCTTCTTTGTCCCGGGCAGTCTTTTGACGGCCGCGGGGACCAGGCCTCCAGGCACCGAACCCTGAGATCCGACGCTGCAAAAAATATGCAACAACGCAAAAAATCACGACTGGAGACCTAGACCCCGTCGTTCTGCTGCATTTTTCGAGCGAGTTTGATCTGTAGTGGTCACGGGGCACGAAGCAGGGCGAAAACACCTGGTGTGAAAAAACTGCAATGCCCAGATCTCAAGGAAGGTGGGGAAACACCGCCCGCCATGATTCGGTTCACGATGCGAGGACGTCTGGCGCCGCGGGCCCCAAGTAGGAAGCAAAGAAAAAGACAGGTCAGCGCTGGGCTCCTAGGGATTGGCTTGAGTGCCACCAAAGCCGGCCGAACACTGACCTGACCAGTCAGCCGTGGAGCTGCCACCTCAGGGCCACCCCCTCCTCGTCCTCCTCCTCCTCCTCCTCCTCCTCCTCCTCCTCCTCCACCTCCACCTCCTTCTCCTCCTCCTCCTCCTCCTCCTCCTCCTCCTCCTACTCCTCCTCCTCCTCCTCCTCCGTGAGCCAGGTCGGTGCTCGGGCCTCCCACACAGCACCCGAGGGGACTCGACCGACCCGAACGCTGCCTCTAGCTAATCCCAACCAAGGCCTGCCCGCCGCTCTGGGCGCTGCCGTGGCCGTCGTCCAGCGACGGGCCCAGGTCGAAGGGCGCGCCGCTCTCGGGCTGCCGGCGGCGGTCGCGGTCGCGGTCGCGGTCGCGGTCCCGGTCGCGCTCACGCTCGCGGTCCCAGTCGCGCATGCCTCGGCTTGGGCGGGAGGGCGCCATTCCGCCCTCAGATCCAGGCGTCACAAAAACAAACAATCGCGGCGGCCCGATTTTCGTCCTCTAAAACTCTGGAGGCCATTTCTCGGCCCTGGGCTGGGACTCTGGCCCGAGGGAGGTGGTCGGGAACCAGGGGGCCGACGTCAGGAAAAATTGAAGCGTCGGCGGAGAGGGTGATGGAACAGAACTGGGTGTTTTATTTAAGGGCTGAATTCCACAATGCCCAGCAAAACAAAAAACATGGAGTTCCCTCTATCCTTCTGAAATCGAATTGGGTTAAAAAAAACACACGCTGTGATTTATGGCCCTTTGAAGGTCAAACGGCAGCGAGTGGCGCGCGTACATACCATGCACACACACACACACACTATACCACACCCGTGGAACTTTGTCACGAAATGACCAGCTGGGCGCGGCGTGTCGCGCCCACAAACTCGCAAGCCGACAGGGGGCAGCAGGAGGCGGCAAAGGCGTCCCCGAGCGGAAACAAATCAAAGGCGGCTTATTGGCCCAGTACCACCTCCTAGGTATAGGTAAAATCGCGTTCAGTCGGTACTGCCACGTCCCCACGTCGGGATCCTGCTCATCGTGCCGTCACTTTCCCTGTGATGGTAGTGCCCATTGCGGATATTACTTATGTGATGTGGTGGTGTTCACTCCGGCCCTCGCCAACTGTTTTTTTACTTTCTGGATCGTCGGCTCCGGGTCCCGTGTTACATCATAAACTCCTTTTTACTTAATATGACAGCGAAGAAATTACTGGGCATAGCCTTGGCGAGGCAATCCACTGCCATAGTGCTAGTATCGACCCACCGTACCGTGCTACATAATAGTCTAGGATGTAAGATATCAGCTTCCTCTTGTCCACGAGTCCATATATATATATATATATATATATATACAAGATGTTGTTGGCTCGCTTCGCTTCGCCACAACATCTTGTCCCTCATCCTCATCCTTGGCGCAGGAGCGCGGGTCTGGTACCTCGCCGCGCTATGTGGTCACAGAATGTGGCGAGCTCGTGAACTTTCATTGCCGTAGGGGTGTAAACTTGATGTTTGTCGCGAGCTCGACAGCTCAGGGCTGCGTGTGTGTGTGTGTGTTTTGTAAGGAGTGAAAATGTTTGGAAGTGAAGAACCTCCCGACGGGCCGAACCAATTTGTGGTTCACGTCGACGGTTGTTTTTATCTTCGGGGCCCCGGATGGGAGCGTCTGGCGCTCTGCGGGCACGCTGGCGCCGAGGGGCCGTCGTGTGCGTGCGTGTGTGTGTGTGTATGTTTTCGTAAGGAGTGAGCATGTGCGCGGACGCAGAGCCACCCCACGGGCCGAACCAATTTTTGGTTCACGCTGACGGTTGCTTCTTCTTCTTCGTGCTCGGGATGGAGGGCGTCTGGCGCTCTCCGGGCACGCTGGCGTCGAGGGGCTGTCGTGGGTGTGGGTTTTCGTAAGAAAAGAGCATGTCCCGGGGCGCGGAACCACCCGACGGGCCGCACCAATTTTTGGTTCACGTCGACGGTTGCTTGTTTTTTTTCGGGCCCGGGATGGGGGGCGTCTGGCGCCCTCCAGGCACGCCGGCGTCGAGGGGCTGTCGTGGGTGTGGGTTTTCGTAAAGAAAGAGCATGTCCCAGGGCGCGGAGCCACCCGACAGGCCGCACCAATTTTTGGTTCACGTTGACGGCTGCTTGTTCTTTTTCGGGCCCTGGACGGGGGGCGTCTGGCGCCCTCTGGGCACGCCGGCGTCGAGAGGCTGTCGTGGGTGTGGGTTTTCGTCAGGAAAGAGCATGTCCCCGGGCGCGGAGCCACCCGACGGGCCGAACCAATTTTTGGTTCACGTCGACGGTTGCTTGTTCTTTTTCGGGCCCGGATGGGGGGCGTCGTCTCTGTTCGTGGAGGCCTCATGGATGGCTTCTCGCGGACGTCCTGGGGGCCTGTTGGGGCCTCTTGAGGGCCTCCTGGGGCTGTGTTCGAGCCGTCTGGGGGGTATCCTGGAGCCGAGGGGCCGACATGTCGGGTCGGATCCTGTCGTGGAGCCTGTCTTGGAGCCGTCTTGAGGGTCTCCGGGGCCGTCTTGGGAGTCTCTTGCGCCGTCTTGGGCCGTCTTGGGCCGTCTTGGGGCCGTGTGGGGCGTCTTGGAGGCCTGTTGGGCCGTCTTGTGACGAACTGGGGCATCTTAGAGCGACCTGTGGGCGTCTTGGAAGGCTTCTGGGGCCGGTCGGACCAGCTTGGCGGTAATTTCAAGCATTCTCGGGGTTGTCTTGAGCCCGTCCGGGGGGGTGGCGGATTAGGTGACGCCCATCCGGGGGGGGGGTCCCTTATCATTTGATAGGGAAAGGGAATATTGGCGTAAACTGCTAAGATCAATGCTCAAGCGTTTATCTTCCTCTTTGCCCATCGCTGGCGCATTCAGGTGCCCCCCCAAGTTTTTACAACCTGTCATCCCCCGATGCCTCATCGTCATGGCAGAAATCTGCTACCAATCTGAAGGAAGCTCGTGCCTGGTGCCAAACATACCACGAGCGTCAGCGATGCCACCGCGGATGGAGACAGGCCAAAGTCTCCGCCTGGAGGGTTGATGAGATCTGAATGGATCAAGCTGGCCCTTGCCAGTGTCGGTCTCTCCTGCCCAGCTGGCGTCGGTAACTGTAAGAACTATCATACCACTGCCCCATTTGACTGCCTCTCCCTTGAACGCAAATCCACTGTCTGAAAACAGCATTGCCTCTTCCAGAACACGATTCGCTTCTTTGAGACGAAGCACCGTTGCGTGATTCACTGCAGCCTGTAGCCGACTCACGCAAAAAATAAACGAAGTTGGCATCGTCGGGTAACCAACGATAAAGCACCAAGGACTGACTTGAGCTGGGATACCTCTCTTTCATTCAACTTCCGGGCGAGTGGGCTATCCGAGGGATCGGACGCAGCCTCAATCGCCTCAATGTCATCGCCCGCACCGGCGCGGGCAGCGCAGCCCGTCTCTCGGGCACCTTCCGATCCACAATAACGAAAGTGTCCTGACTAAGCCTCTCGAGTATCAAACTCCGCTGACACTGAAGCAATGATGTCTTGGCTCTCGTTGCCCGCAGCCCATGAGACATCATCTACGTGGGCGCCCGACGCGCGCGCGATTTCACCTGCGCCACTTGCGACGCTGAAGAGAGCAGGCATGATGCGACTCTCTCGCGCAACCGATGCGCCTTGAAACGTCGGCGAATCTCCCTCCGTAAACCTCCACCCGCGTCGCGGGTTCATTAGACGGGCATGCGCGCGATAAGCGCTCCGCCCTCCGGGGGCCCCCCTAATCCGTCTGGCGGCCTGGCGGTGGCTTGAGCAACGTGAGACGGTGGAGTTCTTGTCCCTGGAAGTATGCAGACGCGCGCAGATCTTAAGCGACTCCTCTAAATCTCCTCGCGCGACGAGTCTGCTCTTGCATTGCGGCGCAATCGGTGGCCCGCCCGGTCTGCGAAGATGCTCTTTCTTATCAATGTCAATCCATTATCTCGGGGCCACGCGATATCCTCCGTCCAGGAGTGTCTGTAGCTCTTCAGGCTCTATAGGCAACGCTGCATTGACCTTTCTCAAATTTCGCCACTCATCTTGTCTCGATATACCAGGTTGCTGGCATTCTCAATTTTCTTCCGCGACTGGGTCTTATTGACGGTATGCTCGTTGGGGAATCCTACACTTGATTCGTGCGTTTCAACTGCTATGGGTGCTGTCATGCTCTGCAGTAGCTCCACACCTGCACCTGTTGTGCCAATTCTATGCCGCGCCTCGAACAGCGGACTCTCTGGCTCGGGTCCTGAGTCCGGTACTGACTCCGGCGAAACACCTCCCGGTGTCCTGTAAGCGGCTGATGCTGATCCACCTGCCGCGAGTCTTGTACGCATCACCTCGCTACGTCTACGCATCTGCGAGGTACATCATCCAGCAGAGATCTCTGCAATGGAGCGCGGATCACTTGCGGCGGTCGTGGCGTTTGTTGCCCGTCTGGGGGAATTATTACAACGCCTTCAGCCTCGTCACTCATGTCATCCCCCTGGACAGCGGGTTGAGACCCTCCGCTGTTCCGACTACGTCGGTGTCTTCTGGAATGGAAGGCAACGCGTCTCCTGGGATGGACGGCAACGCGTCTCCTTCTGGACCTTCAGGTTCATGAATCCCTGGCATGTCTCGGCGTTCGTCCGCGAACAATTGCTGCTGATTGTCCGGGGGGCGCAACGACCAAGTCGCCATCGCGGCGTCGAGAAAGATACTAGCACGCAAGAGCTCTCGCCGCAGCACGCGGACGGAGCCTGTCGATCGGCGATGACCCGCGCATTTTTGCCATCGATCCTGACGATTCGAGAGCCTGCTTCCCGCTCGGCTGAGACTTCGCCCTCAGTTGGCCCCTTGCGAAAGCATGCCACATCACCCACCTGATATTCACCTGCTAGAGGTGCGGCCTTTCGGAGCGCAGCACGTGCTGTCCGACTCTTGACGTCGTGCTCAGCAAAGGCCTTGCGCGCTGGCTGCAACACGGACCGCTGCTTGGCGAGAGAATTCATCGGACCTGCCCTCAGCCACGTTAGCCATCGCACTCGAGTCGAGAGCTTCATCGACGTCGAATTGACTCCCTGGCACACGGGGTAGTCGTCCGAGAACTGCTTGAGATGATGGGAACCCTGCTGCTCGAAACATATCGTTCATTGTGCTGTCGACTTCTGCGGCTGCTTCCATTGACTCATCAAGTCCGGTGACGTTCTTGTCGTGAACCACTTTCTTAAATACGTCCATCCAAAGACCACCGTATCTTTCAATGCGCCCGATTTGCTCCAAAGACTCGACTCCTGCGTCACGGGAGAACCCGTCGTGGAACAAAAACACCTCTGTTGCGTAGTCCTCGATCCAGCACAATACGCTTGGGTTCGCCAGCCCGCGAGCAACAGCCTGGCTGGAATGCCGCGAGGCACGTCCTTGAGGAAGGCGCGCCGCCACCTTGGCGTACGAATATGACACGCTGGAACGTAGATCCTTGGCAGACAATGTTCAGGAAGGCGCGCGTCCCCCCACTGTTGTCCTTGACCTCGATACAGACACCGATTTCATGTTTGAAGCGGCATTTCTGGGGCATAGCGACCTTCCGAGTGTGAGCTAACGGCTTGCTGTTTTCGCGAGACTCGCAACTGTGGTGCTTTGCTGCTTCAGTGTACTCCGTTTACATTCGCGATGGCCTCATGAGCTGAATCAGCACGCGATGTTGCACATGTCCGAACTGCCGATGAAGTCGCCGACTGGCGATGCTCACTCTGAAAGGGGTCTATAGAGCCAGGCCCTTCTCCGAACTCCATCCGATCTCGGCTCTCCAGGAAACGGTAGCTCCTCCAGGATGTCCTGCTCATCCCTGCGCAGTTCCCGTGGATCGACGACGACGTCCGCGTCGACTTCAACTGAATCGAGCGGCGCGTCTATTCTCTCCTCGGCAGCTTCAGCTGGGAAGGCGGTCGCAGCGAGACGACCTACCCTGATGACCGAGATCACGCAGGAAGTCGAGAGACATGGGCGAGCTTGCGACGGGGTCTGAGATTTCAGCGTGTTCGCAACGTAAGGACTTGAGCAAGCAGCTCCCTGACCAAGTGCAACAGTGACTGAACCACTATTATCTGACAAATCCTCTAAACAACTACGGATGCTGGTGATATTATGGCCAGTGGTATGAGCGATGGTGCGATCAGGATTGCACTCGATGATCTTCCTCGCACGCGTCCCAGGTTGGACGAGTCACGAAATCCCCCGCCGCGCCGTTCGCGCCGGCGGCTCACGCAATGGCGAGGCCGACGATGAAGCGCAGCACCTTGTCCGCGGAGAAGTGGCCGGCGAGCGGCATCTTGACGTCCGTCAATGATGGAGTCCTTCTTGTCTACATCAACCAGCCCGGCGAAGTAGCTCGCGTTTCTTCGCATTCATGGCAAACGTCTGGTGCCCATCAGGTCTGAGCGGCGTACGCAAATGAACAGTTCCGTCATGATGTATACGAGGTGGCTGGGTGAATACACATATCCTGTCATGCTCCTGTGCGTCGCGCCACGAGTCCATGAGCGCGCGATGGTCGAGCTGTTCCCACTTCTGTGTATCCTTGTTACGGCCCGTAGTGCTCCAGGGCCAAGTGGCCCACGACGAAGGACATTAGATCTTCGCGTCGTATAAACCAAACGTGACATGTCACGGCTGTCCATGCGCATAGATGCTGATGTCACTCCATAATCAGAGAATGTCACTGGATCAATGTACGCGATGAAGTCCCGCTTCGTACCAGTTTCGAACAGCGTCTCCATCTGCTCATCTCCAACATTTAAGGGTTCGTAGTCTACGACTGGATCTCCGCCCCTGTCGCCGCTCATCCGCGCGCCCTCCGGAGATCCTGGGCAAGCAGCCGCGCCAGCGGGCGGCGGCGGAGGCGGCGTGGGCGCAAGTGCCCTCGGCGTCTGCGCCGGCGGCGGCATTGGAGGCTTCCGAGCGCGAAGAGGTGCCGGCGGCGATGCTGACGGTGGCCTCGGAGTCGACGCGGCGGCCGCGGGTGGGTCACCCTCCGCATTGCGCTTCGGAGTCGGTGTCGTCCGCGCCCGCTTGGCGTCGGGTCTACTCTCCCCAGGGCGGCCGGGTCCTGCTGTGACCGACAGCTCATCGTCGTCGCCACCAGGAACAACAAAAGTAATTCCCAGTGGATTTGGCACGGTGCCTGACTCGCTGAACTCAGCGGCTTCTCTGACGGCGCGCATCTAGTCAACTTGAATACGACCGTCCTCTGCGCGGACGCGGAAGTAGAACTGCAGCTCGCGGCCCTTGTGCCGCTCCAATGGTATGCTTGTAGTCGCCCCCATCGCACTCTGGCCCGCCCCGCCAGGATGACTCTCGAAGTTGTCCAATCCCACGGTGACAACCGCAAGCGCGGGGCCTTCCCTCCTCGAAGATTCGACGGATAGTGGCCCGATGGGGGGATCTGCGCGGCGCTTGCCCGCGGCTGAGAACACGTCGCACTCGCCGTCGCTCTGATCCAGACTCGCCTGCTGCACTGGTTTTGCCACTGCGGGCGCCCCCGCGGCAACGTGGGATACGCGCAGAGGGCGCGCGAGATCAGGGGCCCGATAGAGATCAACCTGATCGAGGCGAATAGCAAGGAATCCAGAACGACGATAACGACGCATCTCCACTTCGCCCTCGGCGCCCAGAGCGGCGCGGCCATGGGCGAGATATGCAGCGACCCCGAGTGATACCTGCGCCGGCAAAGACAGCTGGAGCGACGCATGATCTTGATCGTTCAACTGATGGGACTCGAGAGTAGCACAAACAACCTCGACTGCCAACGACGTGATAACCCGCCGTGGAACTGCCAGCCGGACCACCGACACTAGAAGAAATACTACGAGTTCCGTTGATCCGTTCAGTGCAAGCCCAATCTTCTCAAACTTATCTTCTGCATTGGCACCCCAAGCTTCGCCGCGGTAACAAGAATTGCACCCTTCATCCAGGACAGACCGCGCACCATCATCTTTGATAACATCAACCAAGCTTGGAGATCGCCGAGGAATCGGTCGACGCAGGAGGCGACTGCGCCACGAGCGCGACGAGCTCATGCTTGGCTGTCTCGGAGACACCATCGCAAAGCACCGAGGTCAACTCACTAGTGCTGATGTCGCCCGTGTTTTGACACATCGACACAGCGCGCTTCGCGAACATCTTCATGGCGACCACCGGCTTCTCAGCGCCGATGCAACGGTCACTTTCGACGATCTTACCGATTGCCTCAGTCTGGAGGTCGGTGGCGCGCTCGACCTTCTTGGCCGCCTCCTTCTTCTCCTGAGCAAGCTCGCGAGGCTGTTCATCGACGCGAGTCAATTATTCGCAACAGAACGCGGTGCGACCCCTTTAATACTACCCCTGTTGTCAACGAGGTCGCGAGGGCACTCGCCCGGCTGATGTAGCGCCTCGCTTCGCTCCTTCTCGGTCTTGCGACCGCAGTCTCTGCGAGCGCGAGCGGGGAATCGCGCGAGTGAGCCAGCGCTGGAGGAACTCGCGCAAGCGCGAGCACACGGGCGAGGCAATGGCGGCTCTGGAGGCTTCTTCCCGCTTGTCGAGCCGCTGGCGCCAGAACTGGCAGGAAGACGCGAGCCATCTTCAGCGCGGCGTGTGATGCGACCGTTAGCAAATTGAACGACATGTTCATCGAACCACGCTAGAAAAGCTCTCAACTCCTCACTCGGCTTCTCGATGCCACGCCCCCCAGAAACAGTCAGGCGTATCCTTGAGCACTCCACCGCACGTGGGGCCTTGATGCTGACCAACGATAAACGTCGTGTCATGACCGGGAACAACAAGCAGCTCTTGAATGGGCGCGGCCTCGAACTCTTCATCCGACGCACTGTTCATCGAATAACTCTCGGTGCGTCGGAGCGGACGGGCACCCCTCGAGGCCGACGTTCGAAGAGCCATGTGCGCGCGCGGTCTCCATCCAGCCTCCGACGAGGTCTGGGCGCGGCCCCGAATCGCGGCCGCGCGCTCGCGCTCGGGCCCGCGGGCCAAAGTGGCCTCGGGTAATGGGGCGCCCTCGAAGCAACTCTTGCATGCATGCTCTCCCGAATGCCCCTCCGTCCAACAATGCTGCCCGCTGCGCTTCTCCCCCTCGCTCAAGCGTGATCTGCGACCTTGCGCAGCGCGCGATGAGAAGGGATAACAGAAGGGGGTTATATCGCGCGGCGTGTTACAGGTGTCGCGACGATGACGAATGGTGGATGATATCGCAGCAGATCCCGCGCAAACTGATCGTCGTCGCCGTCCACGCGCAACTGGAGCTGCCGCTCGCCAGCATGCGCTATCATGGCCGTCCTGGTATCCCCTTGCACCCTTGCACCCAGGGCCCCCAGGCCAGCGGCCAATCCCGCTGCGGGTCTTACACTCCGATCGTTTCTTGATATCCTGGAGGCGAGCCTTGTGCTCCCCCAGGGTCGGCGTTCCCCTGCGGCCGCCCTTGGGCGATGAGGACTGCCGGCGGTGACCTTTTCCTTGGCCTCTGCTCTTGCCTCTTCCTCTGGCGCCAAGGTTGGTTACCATATCATCCCCGTGTGACTGGATCATATCAGAAACTTCTTCTTCCGTGTAGCCGCGTTTGACCATTTCCCTCCATTACTTCGGTGTCAAGCTCATCTCCGCGCGGCGCGGATGTCCAGTGAACGCGAGGGTCGCCGTCGCCCCAGGTCTGGCCATCTCTTCGGGTGTCTGTCCACCAAGATTCGTCGTCCCAGCCATGCTCGAGCGCATAGCCGGACGCACAATAATCATAAAAACTTAGCCCCTCGGGGTCGTGCTCCTCCTGCTCGGGCCAGCTGTCGTCGGCATCGTGGCATGCCTGTGGCGGCCTAAAACATATTGCCTTGCCTTTGCTTTTGCTAGGGTGTCGGGGCGTCCACTGGGTGAAGGTGGAGCTCTTGCCCGAATCTCCCTTGCCGTTTTTCGGATGTGGACACGACCGTTTGAAGGATCAAGACGTCCTTGACCTTGTCGAAACTGGTCACATTACCCGTTGATGTCATTACCAGCAAATGCTCTGGAAGCGAGTCCTGTACGGTCCGAGAGAGAAGATCCAAACATGCCGTCGCTCATCATGATATTCGGGTCGACTTTGGAGGCAAGCTTCCACCAACGCTTCCTGCGTGATATGTACGAGACCACAAAGTCACCGTTTTGTCGAGACATTGGCCCGGAGGGTCTCAGTCCTACTTGGAAGAAGACCTCGGCTTACTGAGCCTCTATGGGGCAGAGCGAGGTACGGATCGTCTGTATCAGTAGTTCGATGACCGTTTTAATCCAAGGCGTTTTTTCATGATTCATGGCTGTATCAAACGCGTCGCCTCTGAAGCCCTCTATCACCTTAGTGACGGCTGCGGTGGCAACGCGTGGCAGTGAATTTCCTGTTTCAGGATGAACGGAGGCCAAGCCAACACTCATGTTTATTTTTGTGCGGAATTTACATTCATGGAAGTTCTTCGTAGTGCCGTCGTAGATGTAAGAACCACTCCTCGTCTCTGATATTGTCGGCGAGTCATGATTTGGTCGATGACGAAGAAGAGAAGACAGCGCCATGGCACACGCAGGTAGCAAGACAGCTTACAATCCCTTTGTAAGGGTCAGTGCTCGAGCAAGTACGGTGTAGTAGTCGCGAGGAACTTTCTCTGGAGAGACGAATCCTGCGCAATGGTGCGGTCGCCCAAGACCGTGTAGCAACGGTAGAGGGAAACAATTAGTGAACACCCCCCCTGCCCCCCAAACTCAAAGTTGGCTGGCACGCGGGGGGGGAGACTGCGGTCGAGGTGCAACTCATCAGACCCACCGCCAACTTTGAACATTGGGAGGAGGGGGAGGCGTTCACAGATGAATGTGGCATGAGTGTTCGCTATTTTTTCCGAGGCCTTAAGCTCCGTTGCCAGTGTAATACATGATGCTTGTTGAGCCTTGGCAAAAACAAAAACCTTGAGGGTCAAACTGCAGGGAGTGGCGCGCGTACATGTCATGCGCGCACACTATATCACACACATTCGGTGATTCAAGAGGACCGACAGCCTCGACTGTGGAAGTCGAATCTCGCTTGTGAAACAGGGGGGTGTGTTACATAATGGATGGAGAAAGCCTCCAGAATAGAGGTCGGACCTTCATTTTCGATTCCCTGGGTCTACCCAAAGCTCCAGTCTGGAGGAGGATCGGGGATGAAGGTTCGATGTCTTTTGAGCGATTTGCCTCTTAGTTGACCTCGGGGAGCCTTCTCGTCGCCACGGCAAGATTTCCCTTCGAACTTCTCGTCAAACCGCGCCCCTGGACGGCTCCGAGGTGCGATGTTTTGACCCCCGAGCCCAGACCGCTGGTTTTGTTGAAATGAAAACGGACATTCGGGGCAAGTTTCGGACTCTGGCGGCCCCCACCAAACCCGGGGTTGCCAAACAACGACTCGAGATGAGAAGCCAGTCCCTAATTAGGAGAGGGTCGACGGGTCTGCAAATCAGGCAGTGAAAAGAAAACTGGATATCGAATCTGGAATGTCAGGGACCCCCGAACCACCGACGCTCACCAAAAAGAGAACGGACAGGTTTCGCCGTTTCGACGGCCTGGTGATGCTTCCAAGCCCCCGAACCATCGAAAACAAAATGGTATTCCGAAACCATCAAATTCACTGGAAAAGGGGCGGGAGTTACAGGGCTCAGTTATGAAAAAATATGAAAAAAGGATCTACCCCACGAAACACGACGCCCACGCATCCCCGACAAACATCGAAATCCGCCGACCCCAGAGGCGTGTGCGATCAAACTTTCACTCGCCCACCTTCGCTTCTATTTGTACCACTGCTCACATTACAATGACAGGCTTTGACCTCGGCCACCACGCGCCCACCACGCTCCCCACCATGCTCCACAATTCACCTTCGTTCCCCACTCTTCACCTCAAAATGAAAGGCTTCGACACCGCCCACGTCTGACACCGTACACTCCTGGACCTCCTCTGTGTGCTTTTTTGGGGGGACCGTCCACCCTGCGAAAACACGCTCCAGGACCCCCACCGCGCCACCAACCACGTCTGACATCCTCACCCTCCTGGACCTTCTTTGTGTGCTGTTTCATGGACGGCCCACACTACGACAACACGCGCCAGGACCCCCACCGCGCTTCCACCACGTCTGACATCCCTACCCTCCTGGACTTTGTTTGTGTGCTGTTTGAGGGACCCTCCACCTTACGAAAAACACGCGCCAAGACCCCCACCGCGCTTCCACCACGTCTGCACCCTCCAACACGTCTGACATCCCCACCCTCCTCGAGCCTCTGTGTGTGATGTTTTAGGGACCCCCCTCCCTACGAAAACACGCGCCGAGACCCCCACCGCGCCACCCACCACGTCTGACATCCCCACCCTCCTGGACCTTCTTTGTGTGCTGTTTAAGGAACCCTTCACCTTATGACCACACGCGCCAGGATGGCCACCGCGCAACACATCACGTCTGACATCCCTACCCTCCTGGACTTTGTTTGTGTGCTGTTCAAAGGACTCCCCACTCTACGAAAACACGCGTCGGGACCTCCACCGCGCCACCCCACCACGTCTGACATCTCCACCCTCCTGGACCTACTTCATGTGCTGTTTTAAAAACCCTCCACCCTACGAAAACACCGTTCTTTGTGCGCTGTTGTAGGAAGCCCCCACCCTACGAAAACACGCGCCCGGACCCCCACCGCGCTTCCACCACGTCTGACATCCCCACCCTCCTGGGCCTTCTTTGCGTGCTATTTTAGGGACGGCCCAGCCTACGCAGACACGCGCCGGGACCCCCACCACGCTTCCACCACGTCTTCTGTGCGTGCTGTTTTAAGGCCCCCTCCACTCTACGAAAACACGCGCCGGGACCCCCACCGCGCCACCCACCACGTCTGACATCCCCACCCTCCTGGACCTTCTGCGCGTGCTGTTGTAGGACACCCCCACCATACAAAAACACGCGCCAGGACCCCCACAGCGCTTCCACCACGCGTGACATCCCCACCCTCCCGGACCTTGTTTGTGTGCTGTTTCAAAGACGGCCCAGCCTACGCAAGCACGCGCCAGGACCCCCGCCGTGCTTCCACCACGTCTGACATCCCCACCCTCCTGGACCTTCTTTGCGTGCTGTTTTAGGGACCCCACACACTACGAAAACACGCGCCGGGACCCCCACAGCGCTTCCACCACGTCTGACATCCCCACCCTCCTCGACCTTCTTCATGTGCTGTTTTAGGGAGCTCCAGCCGCGCTTCCACCACGTCTGACATACCCACCCTCCTGGAACTTCTTTGTGTGCTGTTTTAGGGACCCCCCACCCTGCGAAAACACGCGCCGGGGTCCCATCCACCACGTCTGACATCCCCACCTTCCTCGACCTTCTTTGTGTGCTGTTTTAGGGACCCACCACCCCACGAAAACAAGCGCTGGGACCACTACTGCCCCACGTCTGACATCCCGGACCTTGTTGAAAGGCTGTTCTAGGGACTCCCCACCATACGAAAACACGCGCCAGGACCCCCACCGCGCAACCCACCACGTCTGACATCCCCACCCTCCTGGACCTTCATTGTGTGCTGTTTTAAAAACCCTCCACCCTACGAAAACACATTCCTTTGTGCTGTTTTAGGGACCCACCACCCTACGAAAACACGCGCCGGGACCCCACCGCGCTTCCACCACGCGTGACATCCCCACCCTCCTGGACCTTCTCTGTGTGCTGGTTTGGAGGCGGCCCAGCCTACGCAGATACGCGCCGAGACCCCCACCGCGCCATCCACCACGTCTGACATCCCTACCCTCCTCGACCTTTGCTGACATACCATACCTACCCTGTTTGTTGCATTAAAGACACCCCACCCTACGAAAACACGCGCCAGGACCCCCACCGCGCCACCCACCACGTCTGACATCTGCCCCTCCTGGACCTTCTGTGAACGGACCCCAAACGCGCTTCCACCACGTCTGACATCCCCTCTCTCCTGGACTGTTTTTTTTTCCTGGACCTTCTTTGTGTGCTGTTTCAGGGAGCCCCCGCCCTGCGAAAACACGCGCCAGGACCCCCACCGCGCCACCAACCACGTCTGACATCCCCACCCTCCTGGACCTTCTTTGTGTGCTGTTTTTGGGAGCCCCCCACCCTCCTGGACCGTCTTTGTGCGCTGTTTTAAAGACCCCCACCGCGCTATCCACCACGTCTGACATCCCCACCCTCCTGGACCCTCTTTGCGTGCTGTTTCAGGGACCCCTCCACCCTACGAAAACACGCGCCGGGTCTCCACCGCGCCATCCACCACGTCTGACATCCCCACCCTCCTTGACCTTCTTTGTGTGCTGTTTTAGGCAGCCCCCCACCCTACGAAGACACGCGCCGGGATCCCCACCGCGCTTCCACCACGTCTGACATCCCCACCACCCTACGACAACAAGCGCTGGGACCCCCACGGCGCCAGCCACCATGTCTGACATCCCCGCCCTCCTGGACCTCCTTCGCGTGCTGTTTTAGGGACCGCCCACTCTACGAAAACACGCGCCGGGACCTCCACCGCGCCACCCACCACGTCCGACATCCCCACCCTCCTGGACCTTCTTTGTGTGCTGTTTTAGGGACCCACCACCCCACGAAAACAAGCGCTGGCACCCTTACCGCGCCATCCACCACGTCTTACATCCCCACTCTCCTGGACCTTGTTTATGTGCTGTCTTAGGGACCCCCCACCCTGCGAAAACACGCGCCGGGACCCCCACCGCGCCATCCACCACGTCTGACATCCCCACCCTCCTGGACCTTTTTGTATGCTGTTTCAAGGACCCATCACCCTACGAAAACAAGCACTGGGACCCCTACCGCGCCATCCACTACGTCTGACATCCCCACCCTCCTGAACCTTGTTTATGTGCTGTCTTAGGGACCCCCCACCCTTCGAAAACACGCGCCGGGACCCCCACCGCGCCATCCATCACGTCTGACATCCCCACCGCCCTGATCCTTCTCTGTGTGCTGTTTTAGGGAGCCCCCACCCTACGCAGAACACGCGCCAGGACCCCACCGCGCTCCACCACGCCTGACATCCCCAACCTCCTGGACCTTCTTTGTGTGCTGTTTTAGGGACCCAACGCCCTATAAGAAAACACGCGCTGGGACCCCACCGCGCCACCCCACCACGGCTGACGCCTTACTCTCGTGGACCTTGTCTGCGCGTTTTTTTTGTTTGAGGACCCTCCACCCTACGAAAACACGCGCTGGGACCCCCACAGCGCCACACCATCACGTCCAACATCCTCAGACCTTCTTCGTGTGCTGTATTAGGGACCCCCCACCCTGCGAAAACACGCGCCGGGACCCCCACCGCGCCATCCACCACGTCTGACATCCCCACCCTCCTGGACTTTCTTTGTGTGCTGTCCTACGAAAACACGCGCCGGGATCCCCACCGCGCCACCCACCACGTCTGACATCCCCACCGTCCTGGACCATCTCTGTGTGCTGTTTTAGGGACACCCCGCCCCACGAAAACAAGCGCCAGGACCCCCTCCACCACGTCTGACATCCCCACCCTCCTGGACCTTCTGCGTGTACTGTTTTAGGGGACCCCCCACCCTACGAGAACACGCGCCGGGGCCCCTGCCGCGCCACCCGCCACGTCTGACACCCGACCCTCCTGGACCTTCTGCGTGTGCTTATTTCACGACCCCCCAGCCCACGAAAACACGCGCCGGGACCCCCACCGCGCCACCCACCACGTCTGACATCCCTTCCCTCTGTGTGCTGTGTTCGCGCCGGGACCCCCACCGCGCTTCCACCACGTCTGACATCCATCACTCCTGGGCCTTTTTTGTGTGCTGTTTGAAGGGCTCTGCACCCTACGCAAACACGCGCCGGGACCCCTACCGCGCTTCCGCCACGTCTGACATCCCCACCCTCCTGGACCTTCTTTGTGTGCTGTTTTACGGGACCCCCCACCCCACGAGAACACGCGCTGAGATCCCCACCGCGCCACCCACCACGTCTGACATCCCCACCCTCCTCAACCTTTTTTGTGTGCTGTTTTTGGAACCCCCCACCCGACGAAAACACGCGCCGGGACCCCTACCGCGCCAGCCGCCACGTCTGACATCCCCACCTTCTAGGGGCCATCCGCCCTGCCAAAACCGTCCCGGGACCCGCCCACCATGCGCCCGCCATGCCCTCGCCGCATCTGACACCGCCAGATTCCTGGAGCCTCTGGGCACAAGTTCTCCAAGGCCACCCGCGCTGCAAAAATCGCTCCGGGCCCCCCTCGCAATGCTTGCACCGTGCCCCCACAATGCCTGACACCACCAGCCTCACAACTGATTTTCCACCGCTGGCTCGAATCGAAACGGCTTCGGTGTCACAGTCCATGCAACAAGAGATGCAAACAACGGGGTAGGACATTTGCCACGCCCCTCGGGTTGGGAAGACGCCCCTTCAACGTCTGCCGAACCCGCCCAAATGCGAACTCGTGCAACTCAGGTCGGGAACGCCGCCGCCGTCACATGCACGCATGCCCGCCGAGGCGGGCCTGGAGCGGAGCTACCCGCATCCAGGGTGGGAGCGGGGCTACCCGCGTCCCGGTGCTCTCAGCGCCCGTAGCCGATGATGCCGCCCTGCGCCCGTCGTGTCGCAACGGCGGGTCGCCGGCTCAAGCCGTCGTGCCGGTGGCGACCCGCAGCGCCAGCTTCAACCGTCCGCTGGCCAGAACGCAGCTCGCCATGCGTAGGCATTCCGTCATCTCGCGCACTGCCAAGTGCTTCGTTCCCATGTCGGCTGGGTTGTCGCTCCTTGGCACCTTCTCGATGACCAGCTCCCGCCTGGCCACGGCCTCCTGCACCCAAAAGGTCTGGGCGTGGAGGTGCCTCGCCTTCCCAGCCCCGCGTCGGGAAGCAATGCCCTTGCTCGCGCTGGCGTCTACGCGCACGCGCGGCATCAGGACCTTGAACAGACCAGCCGCCATGGCAGCGGTGCCAATCGCACAGCTCACACTCTTGGTCAAGGCGTAGAACTCCGCCTCGCCAGAGCTCGTGGCCACGACATTCCACGTCGTGCTGCTATAGTCGTGATCACATGCTGTCCCAAAATGGTGTGCGATGATGAAGTCGAGCGCCGGGTCTTCCGGCACCCAGCCCAATCGCTGTCATTGAACACATCCACGACCGTCTGGTCAGCCTGCCGCCGATACACCACCAGGCAGCGAGGCGCTCATTTCAGGATGTGCCCAAGGCGTTTGAGCGCCTGCATGTCCTTCTGGCGCGGCGCCTGCATGCGCCGGGCGAGCTCCTTGCACGCGAACTGCAGTTCGCAGCGGTCTTGCGCCAAGTAGCACGCACGCATGGCCCAGGATCTGCAATTAGACCTGGCCTCAGGATCAAGCTCTCGTCCGTCATCGTCGTCGTCGCCGGTCGGCTTGACGCCCGGCGTCGCAACGGCCTTCGCCCGCTCCTCGTCCAGACCCAGCTTCTGCACCAAGATCTCGGCGCGCCGCGGGTCGGCTTCCAGCTCGATCCGCTCGCCGCCCTCCGAGCCGAGGGGGAACCGCCGCACGATCCTGTTCAAGTAGGTGGCCTCGCCCGCGTCGCCGCGCTCTGGGTTCGGACCCAGCGCGGCAGTATGCTGCCGCGACCGATAGTTCGGTCGAGAGGAGTCGCCCTTGTCAATGTCGACCCAATCAGTTGGAATCGGAGGAACCCGTCTCCTGTGCGCACGTCTCATGGTCACTCAGCTCCAAAACCTTCAACTCCTCCATGTACCTCATCTCCTCTGCTCTTGCGCTTCGCACTCGCTCGGGATCAAATGGGAGCCCCGTGCATCGGTCACGGAACACCTTCTCGTCCTCCGTCGCCGCCGGCCTCGCCAAGAGCTCCAGCTCCTCCAGGACAGGCCCAGCCTCCGCCGCGGAGATCGTGAGCTCGCGGTCGTTGCCGAGCACCCCCTCCGTCGCGCCGCCGCCAGCAGCGCGCGCCAAGCTCCTCGAAGCTCGAAGGGTCTCCGCCACCAGGAGGGGGGGGATACTTCTCGCACGTCTTCGCCCGGGCCCCGAGCGACTGCGCGTGCTCGTGCCCTCCATGGCACCGTCGCGCCACGGCTTGAGCAATGAACGGGTCGTTCGCCATGAACCCGGTCGCCCTGCGAGCCGGCCCCGCCTGGCCAGATCCATCCACCGAAACCTGGCCGAAGAGGCATTGGTTACATCGCACACGCTGCATGCCACTCGTCGCCAACATCTCGACGATGCACTCCTCGCTCCACGAGGCTGCCTCCCAGGGGAGCTCGAAGAGCACCCAGCCGCCCCTGGCAACCTACTGGCGCGCCAGCGAGCATGCGAACTCGAGATGCTTGCGGCCCGTCTCCAACAACTCCTGCAACCTCCGAGGGTGCGTCGATAGCTCGTGAAGCTGGGACGGGCCCAACCACATTGGACCGAGGGCAAGCAAGCACGGCCTCTCCAAGTCCAGCCGCCCCTGCGCCTCCTGCCGCTCGTCGTCGCTCCCCAGGTCCCAGCCCAGGCGCAAATCCATGCCCGCGCCGGCGTGCAAGCCGAAAGCGCCGGCCTTGCGCTGCGGGCGCGCCAGGGAACGCGCCTCCACGAGCGCCGCAGCGTCCGCATGCAGACCGCTTGCGGCCGCCATCGCAGTGTCCATGTCGCCCTCCGCACCGGGCGCCTGGATCTCCATCTGCCTCTTCCTAGTCGGGGGGCTCGCGTCCACCTCCGAACCGTCGCGGTCCGCCAGGGTTGCGCCCAGGGCAGGTGGCGCCGCTGCGCTGGCCGCCCCTGCCGCGGCAGGAACTCGAGGCTGCCGCTGGAGCCGCTGCTGCCGCCGTAGCCGCTGTAGTCGCTCCCGCGCCTGAGGACGAAGCCGCCGCCGGAGCCGCCGTGGCCGCCGTAGCCGCTGTAGTCGCCCCCGCGCCCTCCTAGCGCGCCTCCGGGCCTGCCCCGCAGACATCGCCCTAAAAAAAACCTTCGCGAGCCGCTGCCAGCCCACGCCTGTCTTGGCCAACTCGGTCTCCAGGCGTATCCTGCAATCCTCGGAATGCATCTGCGCCCGCATATTCTCGGCGATCGCCCTGCAGCCAGGGCACCCCTGCGCGAACCCATGCTTCACGGAGTCCCCCCCCCAGAGGTAAACCCGGCGGGTCGCCGCAGGCGCCTCCTCGGCATCCACCGCCGGATCTGGCCAGTCAGGCAATGCGACTCGCGCTGGAGCCCTCGAGCTCTGCGGCCCGCCCCAGGGACGAGCGGCGACGGTGTTCAGGACCGCCGCGTCGCAACGCTCCGTCGCCTCGCGTCTTCGCACCACCCTGACTTTGCGCATGCCCCTGGACGTGCCTTAGAGCTCGTCGCTCCGATTAGATAAACCCAAGAACACGCCATCCCCCCAGCGAGGCACGACCCGGGCCGGAGCCTTGGTTACACCAGGGATCATGAAGAGCACCTTCTCTCCGAAAGCCGGAAGGGCTCTAGCGAAACCGCGCCCCCTGCAAAGCTCGAAGGCCGTCTTGCCGTCGGCCCCGCGGCGCACGCGATTGATCATTGCAGCCCAATGCTTCACCAACAGGGGATGATGGGATGCTGCCCGTCGAAGCTCCGGCCGCGCCGCGCCGTCAGACGCGCCAAATTGGTCCGCGCGGCGCCCTTCACCTTGCGCACGGCGGCCTCCGCGAGGCCGCTGCCCCGAGAGTCGCGCCCGGCGGACTCCTCCAGCTTCGCGCGCGCGCCCTCGAGCTTGAGCGCCGTCGCCACCGACGTCTTCAGCGCCACGATATGGACGCCTCGCCGTCGCTCCCGAGGATCACCTCGTCGAAGCCGCTGCCCACGACGTCGCTCTTCAGATTCTTCAGCTCCTTCGTTGCGTGCTCGTCGGGCCCCTTCGCTGGAACCGCTGCGGCTCCAAGCCAACGATCCCCTGTGCACCTGCTGCACAGCAGGGGCGCATTCGGCTGGCCCCGGGCGTCGTCGCCCCTGTCGTTCCAGTAGCCGTAGTCGCAACCCACCACCAGGATGCTGACCTCTGGGCCGCCAGAGGCGCGGCGGTGCATCCGGCCACGCCCGACGCAGCACTCCCGGCACCGCGTGCGGAAGACCGCATGGCCACCCGCGACGTGCTCCTCACGCTCAGCCGCCGTCGGCCGAGTAGGAACCGCCATCCTCTTGACTGGCGCGCCCTACTCAGCCTCCATCCCAGCATCCGCGTCGAGAGGATAAATCCCTCGGTCCTCCATCGACGCGACCTCGGACAGCCCCTGCGCCGAGGTGAACGGCAAGTCCTCGCGTGGCTTCAGGCGCACCCTCAGGTACCATGCCCGTCGCTTCCGCACGACGTCGATGCGAGTCCCGGAGGCTCTCCGGCGGATGTAGGCCCCGCCGCCGTCAGCAGGAAACACCGTCTCCCACTGGCACCTGCTCAAGTCGTCCGTCGCCAGAAACGCCGTGGCGATATCCATGACGCGGAAGCGCGCGACGAGGTTGAAGGCCTGCCCGTCGGCGTCGTCCGCCCCCAGCCCGAGGATCCGCGCGCCCTGGCCACGCAGCCGGCCGCCCCCAGCTGCCACGTAGTAACCCCTGTTCTGGCTGAGCCTCGTCGGGTGGAGGGGGTGCGACCCAGCTCCGACGCCTGCTGGGAGGCAGCTGACCTCCGCGCCGGAATCCACCTCCACGTCGAGCCACTCTCCTGGCTCGACGCACGGCCCTCCCGCGGCATTCAGAGCAGGGCGACCCGCGTCCGAAGCCGATGGGCCAGGGAGCGGGGCAACCCGCGCCCCTCCCGCGCTCTTCAGGCCCTCCTCGCTGTCCACACCGACGGCGCCGATGTCGAAATAGCCCGCGACCGCTGCTACATCCGCGGCCTCCGCGCTTCCGCCATCTTCCACCGACTGGACCTTCGGCCTGGGGCACTGGGCGGCTGGGTGCCCGGGCCGGCCGCAGTTGTAGCACACCCGGTCCATGCCCTTTCCCCTACCTTTGTTTCCTCCTCCTCCTCGCCCTTGCTGCTGCTGCTGCTGCTGCTGCTGAGGAGGATGGGGGTGAGGTTGACGATGTGTTTGTTGCAGGTATTGTCCTTATGCGGGCAGTGGGCCTTCGCGTGCGATTTTGCGCCGCATCTTGGACATGCGTGCTGCTGCTGGTGCTGACCGCCGCGGCCCGTGCCCCTGGCGCCGCCGCCAGGCCTGCCACGGCCGTCTCTTTTGGCGACGGCGCCGATGTCCATCGGCACCAGCTGAGCCTGCGCAGCGGCGATCGACCTGCTGATGGCTACGACCTCCGCCCGGAAATCGATCCACCGCGCCAGCTGGTCCACCCTCGTCACGTCTTGAGAGGCGATTCGGGGAGACGTAGCAGGAATGTACTCAGCATCGCAGCGCGGGAGCTCGCGCTCCCGCGCTGCGATGCACTCAGGGATGTCGCCCTGCAACGAGAAGGAAAACACGATCATGAATTGCCCGGCGAATCGCGTCCGCATCTTGGGCTCGCACTCGCCCACTAGCTTCCGCCATGCTTCCAGCCCCCCGCTGCCCCCAGCAAGGAGAACGATGCTGAGCGCCGCGCCCTTGCACGGCATGAGCAACATCCAATAGAGCTGAGCGCTGGCTTGCGCATCCGCGCGATCCGTCAGCGCCACGTTTGGCGCTGGGTCGGTCGAGTCGGCAGCCGACTTCATAAACAACGCGAGCCGTGGGACTGCGGCCCCAGCGTAGCCCCGGAACACAGCGCTCCAGTCCCGCCACGCGGTCCTCTCCCCTGGTGCCAAATTACGCCAGCTCGCTGAGGCCTGCGCCCTCGGCGCCTGACCTCCTGCGCCCCCAGGAGCGGCCGCCCGGCGGCCTGCTGCCGCTTCCGTCCGCGCCTGCTGCAATTCACTTTCCAGCTGCTGCTGACGCGCCTGCAGCTGCCTGACTGTCTCAGCCATATGTTGCATGGCTGCTTCCATGGCTCCTACTGGAACCTGCCCTCAACCTCCCCCTCGGTTTCGCCCCACGCGGGCCACCCGCAGCGGGGGCGTCGACCGCCTCCGCCCGCGCGGGGCTACCTGCAGCAGGATCTTCCCGCGCGGGGCTACCCGCAGCGGGATGGTCTGACGCGTCCTCTCGCGCGGTGCTACCCGCAGCGAGGTCGCGCGCAGCCCGGCGCTCTCTCCTCTCCCGCAGCCGCCGCAGCGTCGCTGCCGCGCGCCGCCGCTCGCCCCTCGCCTCCCGCGAGTCTCGGCGAGCCTTTGAGCGCGTCCCGCGCTTGTTGCGTTCACCCCGTGGAGCCATCCGGCTCCGCTACCATCGCAGCTGATTTTCCGCCGCTGGCTCGAATCGAAACGGCTTCGGTGTCGCAGCCCATGCAACAAGAGATACAAACAACGAGGTATGACATTTGCCACAGCCTCCTGGAGACTCTGACCATGGGTCTTTCGTGGCCCCGCCCTGCAAGATCGCCCTGGGATACCCCAGCCATGCCCCCGCCATGCCCCCACCGCGCCTGACACCGCCAGCTTCCTGGAGCCTCTGTGCATAGGTTCTTAAGGCCCCCCCGCCCAACGAAAATCGCTCCGGGGCCGCCCTGCCATGCCTCCGCCACGCCTGACACCGCCAACCTCCCGGAGCCTCTGGGCAAAACTTCTTCGGGGCCACCCCCCCGCAAAAACCGCCCCGGGACCCCCCCGCCACGCCCCCGCCATGCCCCCGCCGCGTCTGACACCGCCAGCCCCCTGGAGCCTCTGGGCGCAGGTTCTTCGGGGCCACCTGCCTTGCAAAAACCGCCCTCCATCACGCGGGCGTCCTTGTTTTCGCCGCGACATCATGCGGCCGGTCTGCCGCGCGCGTCCGGCCGCGCTCCTGGTCTGCGTCGCACTTGTTACAGCGCTGTATCCCGCTCGGTCTCTGCGTCGCCCGCCCGAGCAACCGCGCGCTGAACCTCACGGTCTCGAAGCAGTTTTGACACTGCACGCACTTCCAATATCCCCGCTGCGTTATCGCCCCCATCTCGCATTTTTCGCACTCGCGATGCTTGTCGGCGACGGTCTTCCAAATTCGCCCAGAGAGTGCGGCTTCCTGTTTTTCCTCGCCGCGCGCCGTGCAAGAATTCACATCCTTCGTTCTCGCTCCCTTCACGCACTCTCCGCGCTTGCGATGCTTGTCAGCGACAATCGGCCACGTCCACTCCAAGAATGCGGCCTCCAATTGTCCTTGGCCGAGCGCCATGCGCAACTTCGCCTCCTTCCGATTCCCAATTACTTGCTTCTCGTCCCTTCTGGCGGCGGCACGCTCGTCGAACTCGATGCGCGCTCGCGGCCTGGGCCTCTCATCCCGCGTGGACTCAGAATGCGACTTGCGCGGCTTCTCCAGGCCGCATCTCGAACGTTGGCTCCGGCCCACCTCTCCTGCGTGCCGCTTCTGCTCCTTCTGCTCCGCTCTTCTGCGCTTGTCGCGTGGACGCTCGTCGTGATCGAAGTCGTGCCTCGCAAAATTGCTCGCGACAGGGCAAGGTTTCGCTTTGAATTTCTGACCTGGCCCGTCAATTGGACGAGCACTGTCCGCCCGTTCAATCTAGAGTATAACTTCATTGTTTGACTGATCCCGCCTGTGGCTGGCCCCCGTCCCCCCGCTCTTCATGCTCTTCTTGTGCTCTTACATTTGGAGCCATGACGAGCTGGGAACAACAGCTTCCACGCATCACGCGAATCCCACGCATGTCACGCATGCTGCTGCCTGTTCTCGCACGCGCTGCAACAGCAAAGCCAACCCTGATCCAGCTTATCCTCATACTCCTTCCTCCTGGAAATCCAGCTCGCTTCTCGTACCTCGAAGACGCTTCCCGTCATCCGCCGGCCCTGTCGGCGTGCACGAGGGGTCCGTCTGTTCCCGTCGACGGGACGCTTTTTCTGTTTATCCTTCCCCGTCGAGAAGCAGAGAACACTCTCCCGTCGTCGGGGGGAGGAGTCTGGGGATTGAGGGAAATCGACCCACGTCGTAGTCACGTCAAAGGGAAGCCCCTTCCCTTTGTCCCTTCCCCAGCGGAGGGGGGGGTCCCGGGGGGGGGGGGGGGGCAGATTCGCATCGCCCCGTCTCCGGCGCCGGTCCTCCTCCGGTCTTCCTCCCCAGAGGGGGGGGTCCCAGGGGGGAATCCTTTTCCTCCACTTTCTCCTCCTCCTCCTCCGTATCTCCGCCTTCTTGTCCTCCTCCTCGCTCTCCCTCCTCCCCCTCATGGTCGTCGTCGATGTTTTTCGGGGTCGGCGGCGCCGGCCGTCAGGCCTTCGCAATGTGGTGGGAGCTGTTCTAAACAATGAAGCAACATGGAACTTGAGACGAACGCCTGCGGCGTGGCATGTTCCCCAATCAGAGCTTGCCTCTGCAGGGGGCCTAGCGGATTCGTATGGTTAAGTGAGGTCTGCCACTGATTTCCGCGGCCCGCACGGGTGCCCGGGTGCTTGGTGCCCGGGTGAGCGGGTGCCCGGGTGCCCAGGTGCACAAGTGCCCCGGTGCCTTATAGCCCTACAGCCCTAGAGCACTATAGCCCTAAAACCCTCTAGCCCTATAGCCTTATAGGCCTATAGCACCAAAGCATTATAGCCCCATAGCCCTATTAGCCCAATAGGCCTATGGCCCTAAGCCCTAAAGCCTTATAGCCCTTTCGCCCTAGAGACCTATAGCTCTGTAGCCCTATAGCCCTATGGCCCTATGGCCGTATAGCCCAATAGGCTTATAGGTTTATAGCCCTATAGCCTTATAGGTTTGTAGCCCTATAGCCCTGTAGCCCTGTAGCCCTGTAGCTCTATATGCCTATAGCCCCATCGCCCTATAGCCCTAAAGCCCTATAACTCTATAGCCCTATGGTCCTATAGCTCTATAGCCCCATCGACCTATAGACTCATAACCCCTTGGCCCTATAGCCCTAGAGCCCCATAGCCCCCAGGTGCCCGGGTGCCATATAGCACGAATTGCCCTACAGCCCTACAGCCCTATATCGTATGGCCCCGTAGCCCTACAGCCCTATAGCCCTATAGACCTATAGCCCTATGGCCCTATAGCCCTGTACAGAGCTTGCCTCTGTAGGGGTCCTAGCCGGCTCATACGGTTAGGTGAAGTTTGTCACCGATTTCCGCAGCCCGCCCGGGTGCCAGGGTGCCTTATAGCCATATAACCCTATAGCCCAATATCTCTGTATACCTTTAGCCTTATAGCCCTATAGCCCCATAGCCCGATAGGCCCTGTATCCCAATAGCCCTGTCGCCCTTTAGCCCACTAACCCTATAGCCTTATAACCCTGTAGCCCAATAGCTCTATAGCCCTTTAGCCCTGTAGTCCTATAGCCCTATAGCCCGATAGTCCTATAGCCCTATGGCTCTATAGCCCCATCGCCCCATAGCCCGATAGCCCAATAACCTATAGCCCACCCCATAGCCCTATAACGCTATAGCCCTAGAGCCCTATGGCCCTATAGCCCTATAGCCCCATAGCCCATACTCATAGCCCTTTAGCCTTATAGCCCAATAGCCCCAAAGCCCAACAACCCTATATTCGAATAGCCTTGTACCCCTTTATAGCTCTATAGCCATATAGCCCTGTAGCCCTATAGCCCTGTATCTCTGTATGCCTATGGCCCTGTGGCCCTATAGCCCAATAGTCCCACGACTTTATAGCCCTATAACCTTATAACCTTACAGCCCTATACACCTATAGCCCTATTACCCTAGAGCCTTATAGCCTTACATCTAGCCCTATAGCCCAATCGCCCTGGGACCCTATAGCTCTATAGCCCTATCGCCCCATAGCCCGATAGCCCTATAACCCTATAGCCCTATATCCCAATTGCCAATTTGCCCCCTTGCCCAATAGCCCTATGTCCCAGTAGCCCACTAGCCCAATAACCCTATTGCCCTGTAGCCCTATAGCCTTCTATAGGCCTAATAACCCTAAACCTCTATATGTCTATAGCCCTAAACATCTATGTGTCTATAGCCATGTAGCCTATAGCCCAATAGCCCTATATACGTGTAGCCCGAGCGCCCTTTAGACTCATAGCCCTGTGGCCCTACAGCCCTATAGCCCCATTGCCCCATCGCCCTATAGCCCTACAGCCCTATGGCCATGTAGTTCTAGAGGCCTGTAGACCTATAACTATATGGCCCTATAGCCCTATAGCCCCATGGCCCTGTAGCCCCATAGCCCCATCGCCCTACAGCCCAACAGTCCCAAAGCCCTAAAAACACTTTGGTTGGGGCTTTTCTCGGGTATCATTATTTCAAAATGGCCTAGAAATAGCATCGCTGTTCTGCTACACTGCATCCGCTGACAAGCACAGGGGCCTAACAATTAACACCCTCGATCGGCCGAGGTCCAGTCGCCAGCAGCGCCAACAAAAGTCCTCATCGCATGCAAATGACGGTCTCAAATACAAGCCATAAGATGCACAACGAAATTGCTATGTTTAAGAAGGAATTTATTTGAAGAGCCCGTTCGGTGATGGGGAAAGCAACACCTGCTTGGGCGTAAACGACACTGGCCTCCTAACCCTTGATACACCATTTCTTGAAGTCCGCAAGCACCAAAACATGCATGCATATAGTGCACACCTGCAGTCGCAAGGGTTTTGCGCCGCACAGACGAGCACCTGGATCTTAACTGATCCTGAGCTCAAAACCCAAGACAAAGCGACTCGCGATGATAACCCATACATGGGTTATATTGAGCGAGCACCCCGTCGCAAGTGCCACCTCGTTCTTTGATTGAACAAACCGCTGGTTGGTACCTCGCATATGCATGGGCACGCTGCCTCTGCCACATACTTCATTGGATCACATGCAGGATGCTCATGAGTTCCTACTCTGATCAGTTTGATGTCTCCTCGTCGCGTCGATGTGTCTGGCCTTTCCCCATCCGCGCCTGCTCACAATGGCAGCTTTGACCGCCATGGGCAGGGACGCTGACCGCGCACGCCCTGGAACACGGCCCGGAGCGCATCCCCAAGGCAGCGCAAGTTGAACAGGCTGCGAAGGGCGGGCGAGCGGCCTGACGTTCAGTCCCTGCCGAAAACGGTCCCCGGCTGGCCGTGGTTGGTGAAAAAACGTGTTTTTTGTTTCCGACGACACGGGCAACATCTCAAAATGCGAGAAGGCTTCTGAGAAACCCCGCCGCCTTCTCAGCAGCAGGCACCCCCTGACATTTCCCCCCAAAGCGCGCCGCGGGAGTGCGATCGAAATGGGTACGGGAGGAAAAATACGAAGACCGACGGCCTGTAGCTCTTCTTCGGTCGGCGGCAGGGGCGGCAGCCTTTAGATAAAAGGATGTTGAAAGTCTGGCATGCACCTAGACTGATCCTGCCTGGTCGGGATCAGCATCGACCTGGCCAGGTCAGCGTAGGTGCGTGCATACTTTCCGGCCCAGGACATCCTCGCACCCGTCCTGGGAGCGGGTTCTCGTCTTGCTTAACAGTTGCCAAGATGGCTCCAAAACTGCCCCAAGAGAGCCCAAAGAGGGGCCCACCAAGAGGGACCCCAGACGGCCCCAAGAGCACCCAAGAGCGCCACAAGAAGGCCCCAAGAGGGGTCTCAACACCCACACCCCTGGGCGCGGAGAGCCTCAGGGGCGCCGCCGAGGCGGCGCCAGGGTGTCGAGACCGCTCCGGGCTTCTCCGGGGGCCTGTTGCGGCCAGCCGGGACTGCCTGGGAGGGGGCTGCCTGTGCGCAGCCCGAGGCCTGACCATGGCGAGGCCCTTCCTGGAGCGCCCCACCCGTTCCCTGCCCGCGGCCTCCAGAAACCACGCGGCCTGGGCCGGCGGCCTTCAGCCGATCGATGGCTCCTTGGCCGGCCCGCTGCGACGCCCGCGGCGCTGCGGCGCCGCGCCGCCCAAGTGGCGCCCCCGGCCTGGCCTCCCCTCCAGCGCGCGGCGCGTGAGAGTGCGGGCGGCGAGGCGCGCGGCCGCGGCGCTGGGGCCGCGCCTCGGAGCCGGGGCGGCTGCAGTCGAGGAGGGGGAGGGCGCCTCCTACCTCTTGCGGCTCTCCTTCCGCCTGCCTACTGCCTCCTGCTCCTCCTGCTCCCTCCTCCTCTTCCCCCTCCTTCTCCTCCTCCTCCTGCCTCTTCCTCCTCCTCCTCTTCCTCCTCCTCCTGACTCCTCCTCCTCCTTCTCCCCCTCCTCCTCCTCCTCCTCCTCCTCCTCCTCCTCCTCCTCTTCCTCCTCCTCCTCCTCCTCCTCCTCCTCCTCCTCCTCCTTCCTCCTCCTCCTGTGTTGACCGCAGCCATTTTGGCTCAAACCTGCCTTGGGCGCCAGGCGGGCTAGGTGCGCATTGTCTCTCCCCTGCTGCTTCTGCGCTCGAGAGCGCTTCTGTCTCTATCCCCCTTCGCGGCCCCCGCGATGTCGGAGGTCGGCCCGGAGAAGGTGTATGCTATGGCGGGCAGCCCTCAACGGTGGCAGCCCTCGTCACGCTGCGCGCCGGAGGCCCTGCAGCTCGGGCAGACAGCGGCGCGCCGTGCTGCGCGGAAGCGGGCCCAGCGGGCGTGCGAGGCCGCGCTGGATCGTCAAGGGCGTGGGAGGCAGCTAGGATCGTGGCAGGACCGCGAGGCAGCC